CTGATAAACATTTGTGGAGCTGGTATTTTTTAATTAGATTTGTAACAGTCTTTTGTTCATGTGGCTAGAATCTCTGAAAAAGAAAAACATGTTGATACGAAAAGCGTCCTCAGCCGTTTAGATAAAAGTTCTGTATCTTTGCCTCTCTTGCAGGTGGTGAAATACAAGGACGTTTGCTGAGCAGAGGACAAAAGTTCACATTTACAAGAGTTTACCAGAGTTCACATACACACACCAACTTTGAAAGTCTGCAGAATGAACATGGATTAAATGATATTTAAACAATACATGTTAGTTTATTAATTTTTTTTCACAGTCGTGTGTCATCAGATGGGTAAACCTGTATTTCTGGATTCAAATCAATGAAATGACAGTTTCTGTCCCATATGGTCCTTAAGGTCAAATCCTGACCTTAGGCTTAGTTCACTACAACAGCCTAATTACAACAGACATCTATGAAAATATCTAGATTAATTACTGGCAGATAGAAGAGTTTTAAAGATGGGAAATGAAGGAGTTTAAATGGAGAGGGAAAGATGGATGAGGGAATATGTCTATTATAACCAGAAACGACACGCTCCTTTGGACCCAGCTTAACCCACGGTACACTTCGCAGTTGAAGATCGACTCTTTACCTTGCAGACGATAGTTCGGCCTCGGTGTAGAGTTCTCTTTCAACGCTTTCCAGCGTCTCCGTAAGGATAGCAGAGATCTCAGGAGTCGTGAGATCATCCCTGAACAGACTTCCTCATTGTTCAGAGCTTCGTCAGTAGCCACAGCGAGACGTCGTGGCATCGACGGACTCTGGTCATTCCATTAGAAACTGCACGAACTTGTTCAGCTTGGAACTCTTGTTCTGCGTTCCTCGTTCCGAACTGCATTCTGCGTTCCGCATTCTGCACTTCTTGGAACTCTTGTTCCGCTAACTCTCCGCTGGAACTAGGAAGTGTTGACCCTTTTAAAGAGGTCAGTTCCGGTTCCTCTGAGAACTTCCTGATTGGTCGAAACGAACCAACAGGGGTGTGGTCTTAGTGATGTAAGAGGTTATTAGAAGTCAGAAAAACAGTTAGATGTTTTGGAACAGACAGAAAAATGTTTTTGAAACAGACAAGAGAAATGTTTAGGCGAGATGGGAGGAAACAGGTGCCAGCTTCTCTATTTACGTCTGAGAGGATTTAAAAACATGACAGTTCGTTCCAACAAACTTGTTTGCGTTTGTCTCCGACTTTTGACCGACTTACAACCTGCTCATTTCAGACAGAAGATCAAGAAAATGAATAATTACTCTGTAACAGACATTAACTTTCTTTGTTGAAATCAGGTCTCTCTTGTAAATGAGTCCTTGAGGCTCAATGGGATTTACCTGTATAAATAAAGGTTGATTGATTAACTAGATTTCTACTTTGAATGAGGATTAAAAATCATTAATACTGTTTCACAGTTGATTTAAAATAAGTAGTTCACTTCAACATTTAAAAATGATTTGAATTAAACACACTTTTGATTATCAAGACATTTGTAAAATAGTAATGATAATAAAAAAGAGAGTGTTCTTTCAATTGATCAGTGCAGGACACTTAGAAAGTCTCTGGATGAACTTAATTTTGTGTTTCTGGACTCAAATCAATGAAATAACAGTTCTTGTCCCGGGAAGGCCCTCAGGGCCAGATTTGACCTGAGGCTTAGTTCACTACAAGGGTCAAGGCCGTAAAACTCTACTGGATGCTCGTGATCTCCAGGCCCTTAAACGTCACTGCACCTCAAACAGGAATGCCACTGTCAAGGAAATAACAGAATGGGCTCAGGAATACTTCCACAAAGCATTGTCAGTGAACACAATCCAACGTGCCATCCGCCGTTGCCAGCTGAAACTCTATAGTGCAAAGAGGAAGCCATTTCTAAGCAAGCTCCACAAGCTCAGACGTTTGCACTGGGCCAGGGGTCATTTAAAATGGAGTGTGGCAAAATGGAAGACTGTTCTGTGGTCAGATGAGTCACGATTTGAAGTTCTTTATGGAACACTGGGACGCCATGTCATCCGGACCAGAGAGGACAAGGATAGCCCAAGTTGTTATCAACGCTCCGTTC